ATATATATATATATATATATATATATATATATATATATATATATATCTCATAGCGTAGCGTCAGTTCTGGCAGGTCACGTTAGTAGACACGTTGCTGCTGAACACTTTTGAGAGACGCACAGACTCACAGATGTAATCTCCCTCTCTATCAATGGCTCAAGCCTCCATTAGTAGGTCTAAAATGACGTTTTGGAATTAGCAACGGATGTGTTGGATGAGATTAATCCTACTCAATAGCGTTCAAAAGTTCAAAAGTACAAAAACCGGACAAAAAAATGAATTTCAATACAGTAATTGAAAATGTTCATATTATTAATATATTAATATTTTAAATACTGTGTTTACGGCACATTTCCCTGTAACATCTCTGACGAAAGCTAAAACTTTTCCACCTGACATTCATTTGTGTTCGTTTTACTATCTCTACCGCTCCCAAAACACCAATGCAACATTCTCATGGGAACGGCTGATCTGTCTAGTAGAGAGAGGGAAAATATAACGAGAAAAAATTAATGTGTGATGCCCATCAGCTCCTATAAAGCTATAAGAGCAATCCATAGTGGAGCATCCTACTATAAACATCAGACATTCTTCATCTAATCTCTCTGGAAATGTGTCTTCCTTAAGAAAGCCAAGGGCTTAATGCTTAAACATCCATCCACTTCCTCTCTAAGCCCCTCAGCGCTGACAACACAGTATCCCCTTCAACACACACACACACACAAACCATCGCCCACCATCTATACTAACTTCCACAACCCCAAATCCCCTCTGCTACAAAGAAGCACTTCAGCCACGTCAGGGGCCTTTGTCAACGCAAGCCTCCTCACAGATACACAGAACAAAAACACATCTGTGGAAATATCTGAGGGGAGAGGAGAGGTGGAAAGGTGGGCTCTTTGAAATGGGGATCAGATGCTCATTCTTCCATCCGTCAGACGGGCGATTGGTCACAGGGGTGTGAATGAACCTGAACTTCAGACTGCAGAGAAATCCCAGCAGCCTGTGTGTGTGTGTGTGTGTGTGTGTGTGTGCACAGCACGTATATTAGGAACTTGGTGAAAGATGCAACACAAGGCAGAAAGTTTTAGAAGAGGATGAGATTACATCCAGTGATTTGGTTGTTTGATGGTTACTTATTGGCAAAAATAAGTTGCTGTGACAGAGTTTTATTTGGTTTGGCTGGGTTAGGTTTGCTGCAGCGTGAGGTAAGTGTGTTTGAAATATTCAATAAAAGTCTAGTTGTGTCCAGACTCCCTTGGGCTTAATGATTGTATAAATTACTCACTTTCTGCATTTCTTGTGTTTCCATAGTGATAAGAGTGGAAACACAGAGTCAGAGGACACATGAATGCTTGGCCAATCATTAAGCACCTGAGAAACACCTTGGTCAACAGGGCAAAAGAACACTGTTAAACAAAAGGGCTGATTCAGTTCTCCAGGTTGTTTCATTCTGGATTAAGTTGTCATGTGTTATTTGGGGCATATTAAGACTTATTTTTTGGGCCCCTGATACACGATGAAGGAAGCTTGTTGCAGATATAAGTGAACAGCATCGGTAAGGTGATCTGTGCGTGTCTGAAGACTCTGAACATGCTTCAGTGTGACAGAAATCCGGTGTGTAGAGGGACGTCACATTCATTTCAATCCCCTCACCATCATCTATACTCGTTTCCCACTCATATTTTCAACTATATTTTTCCTTAGGGCCTTACATGTTAATTGGCTATTTATTTTCACATATCATAATATTCAGAGACAAACACATAAAGAACAATGCAAGCAAATTTTCATAAGTCAAAAAATATTAGTAGCAAAATTAAAGTACATACTGTCAGGACTACGCTACTGCGTAGGAGCGAGGAGCAAAGGATGCGGAGACACAGGAGAATTCACAAATACACAGTCTTTAATCTTCCAATTCGGGGTAACACAGGGCAGGCAGGCACACACGTAGCACAAGACAAACATTCAATACCGGACAAAGGAAATCAAGAACAGACACCACTATATATACACAAGACTAAACGAGGGTAATTACTAGGACACAGGTGAATTAAATAAACATAATGGGAACAGGACAGACCAAATAAGGGCATAGTCAAACCTGGGGGAAAACTAGGATATGGAGCACGTGGAGGAGGAAAACACAACAGAACAGGTTCATAACCCTGACATATACATTATTAGAATACAGGATAAGAAAGAAGTGAAATGCAGAAGAGAAAACAAATAAATATAAAAAGGAGACTATGAATTCATCAACCCCTTTTGATATTTTTTTATTAAAATGGAATTACATTTATACAAAAAAAAATCTAGAAAAATCTAAACCAAAAAAATTAAATATTTGCAAAAATAAAACAGAATTTTGAATCAGATTTAAATTCTACAGATTTAAGGTTCTTTTCCTTCTTCAAGTGCTGTATTTTATGCCAGATTTTCATCAAACTCTAAAAAACTTACCTGAATTAAATAGTTTCAAACTTCCAAACAATTAAAATAACCAATTTAGTCTCAGAATGAATAATCAAAAACAACGAATCATCAGTTCAAAGAGAAGCACTTTTTTTGTATAACTTTAAGCATGTTTTTTTGAAGAGTCTCAGCAAGAAGCTCAGACTTGGTGTGAGTTTGTCTTAAAGAGCATGTTATAGTACTATAGTAATGAGCAGTGGGCTGCACACCCACTCAGTCCCTATGGGCTTTTCCCTCTCTCCCTCAACTCCTCCTATCCTCTTCTTCCTCCCATCACTCTATTTTTTGGTCCCACTTTATATTAGGTGGCCTTAACTACTATGTACTTACATTTAAATTAATCATTTAATACAATGCAATTATTGCGTACGTATATGTTTTTGCATTGTACTTATATTTTTTAAAATACCTGCATGTAAATACATCTGTAATTAATTTCTGTAATTACATTTATAATTACACTGTTGACACATCCCTTACACCTTAACTCACCCTTAAACCTACCCATACCACCAAACCTGTCCCTAACCTTACCCGTATCCCACCTCAATAGCAGCAAAAGTGTTTTGCAATACAATATAAACACAATAAGTACATTGTACTTATCTTTTGATGCAAGTACATAGTAGTTTAGGCCACCTAATATAAAGTGGGACCCATTTTTTATCTCTACACCACATCCTGTCATGATGTAAGCTTCTGTCTGAGTACAGACGTCAGTGTTGCTCTGCAGGAATTCAGAGGAAAGGAACTGATTCTCCGCAGACGTTCCACAACCTCAGCATTCCGACTCCGGAATAATGGTCTGCTTATGGGGAGAGCAGGAGAAGGAGGGATTACCATGACAACAGGGGATGCCATAACAGCTGCGAGAGTCCGGTCACACACGTCATAAATCCTGTAACATGGTGAGCTGGTATGTACATGGGTGGCTGAAGTGAACCTGCGACGGGTCACTCCAGAGTTCAAAGTTCAAACACAGCTGCTGCCCCCCAGAGACAGATTGTGATCCCACCCTTACAGCCCATTCCACACATGCCTGTGAGAGCTGTGTTTACTGCTATCAATTCACAGCTACACATTTACAAAACAGCCCAGACTCTAGAGTCTAGAGGATCTTATTACATCTTCCTACATGTAACCTCAGGACATACTGGATACTTTTTCTACTTCAAAACACAAAAATGTACAAGAAAAAAAAAAATAATTTAATTAATAAAGGCAAAAGCTGCTCACCTAATCGCTTACTTTCTTCAAATTCTTATGTCCAAGTACACGTAATTGTAGTAGTGATACTGAGCAAAACACCACTAATTATGCAACTGAAAAATGCCTTGAAAAAAGAACATACAAATCAAGATTACAGCATAGATCAGCCTATATAAGACCCCAACAAAACAAGTTAAGACTTGAAGTCAAGAGGCACATGGGTACAGATAAAGCATTTTTGGCTCCTCAAGGCAACGATGTCAGTAAGAGAAGACAAAATAGTGAGTTGAGATAAGAGATTGAAAGGACAAGTAATGCAGAGCAGACAGAGGACAAGACAATAAAGAAAGAGAGAGAGTAATGTAAGCTAAATATGTCTGCAAGCCAGAATGTATGCTTACACGTGCATAAATGTGTATCCTGACACACCGTGCTGTTGAACGCACAAAGTTCGTATTCGAAGTTTGAACTTTCTATTCATCAAAGAATCCTAAAAAGTATCACAGTTTAAAAAATATTTAGCAGCACAACAATTTTCAACATTGATAAA